GAAGAAGAAGAAGAAGAAGAAGAAGAAGAAGAAGAAGAAGAAGAAGAAGCGAAGGAGGAGGAGAAGAAGAAGAAAAAGCGAGGGAGGAGGAGGAGAAGAAGAAGAAGAAGAAGAAGAAGAAGAAGAAGAAGAAGAAGAAGAAGAAGAAGAAGAAGAAGAAGATCTCTCTCTCTCTCTCTCACTTCCTCGTACTAACACACTCACCGTGGCGCGCGTCGGGGCGCGTCAGCGGGCAGCGCAATGGCGTTTGGGGCGTGTCGACGCCGTTGGCGGGCAGCGCGATGGCGTTCGGGGAGCGTCGACTCCGTAGGCGGGCGCGCGGTTCGACGGCAACGACGAAGGCTGCACTCGGACGAAGTAAGGTGTTGGGCGGGGTACGAAGGCAACCACCAAGGCCTGCGCCAGGAAGGCGGGAAACCAGAAGCAGAGTGGGAAAAAAAAAGGGCCGGTAGGCCCGATTGAAAGATTTGAAATCGCGGCCCATCTGGGCCGTCGATCTTGGAGATCGACGGCGCAGATGGGGCCCGATTTGAAATCTTTCAAATCAGGCCTACCGGCCCTTTTTTTTCTTTTTTCTTTTCCATACACGGCCTCCTTTGGGGGGGAAAAGCCCCCCCGTGACGAAAAAAAAAAAAAAAAACCACCCTCGACGATGCGCTGGGTTCGCCCGGTGGCCAGCCGGGCGGAACGACCGGCCAGGCGGCCGGGCCCCCCGCCCGGGCGACGAGCCGGGCGCCGGGCGGCCCGGAGTTCAGCCTAGCCAGATACATGATAATTGTAAACGGATAGAACATTGTATGCCTTCTATTCGCTGGACGTGCACATGCCTTATGTGTGGTCGAAGATGGCAACCGGGCTGGATAGGCATTTTTTGATTTTTCTTCCCCTCTCTCCTCTTTAACCACCATGACCATTCAGGGGCGAAGGCATAATCAGAAATATGACCTATACCGCTGTGTAGCACGGCGAACATGTTCGCCAGCTTTCCGGAGGTGCACACACGTTCGCAACTTCGCACGAATGTGCCACGAACATGTTCAAACGAATGGGAAAAAGTTGTCCGCAAACATGTTCGTAGGTGGGTGGGGCGGGGGGGGGTGGTGGGGGGGGGGGGGGGGGGGGGTGGTGTTTGCTGTTGTTCTTTTTTTTTTTTTTTTTCTTGTTGTTGGTGATGATGATGACTTGGACAAGGACGTAGACAATCAGAATGATATGACAAAACTGTCTTTTAGACCCTTAGTTAAAACTTGAAAAGTTAAAATTGAAATATTTTGCTGGCGTGATGAAATTAACTTTTTTTTCCCAACGATTTGGGCCAGATTTCGAAGTTTTTGCAAGATGGTATGTATGTTCACATCTTGAATGCTTTCAATTGAGTCTTTTGGATGTACCTGGTCACTTATACGATCAGATTAGCATATGCTGATTGGAGGATGATTAAACGACAACGCCCTTCCATTGTCACATGCTGCGGTCAGTTCACTCATCGGAGGATGATCACATCACAACACCTCTCAAAGGTCAATTTCGCCACGCCAGCAAAATATGCGAAGATTTAGTCCCTTGACAGTGTCTGAAAGTGCCATGCCCGCCCTAAGTGAAGGCGGGCCTGCAAATATGTGCCAATGCCTGTTTACAGGGCTATGAGACCAGGTTGAGGGGCCCAAGCAGAGCCAGTTGGAACCCCCATGTGGGATCGATCTTCGACGAGGCCTTGTTATGAGCTAGCTCCTCGGCATTCCCCTGTAGGGCCCTTTCAGCAAGCATGAGCCCGCCCTAAGTGAAGGCGGGCCCCTGATTTTCGACATGGCCTGAGTTCGTCAATTTTGGCGAAGTTTGGTGGGCGCCAGACAGTTGCCATGCGCCAGTTGGTTACATCCTCGCCAGTTGGTTACATCCTCCGTACTCGTGAGAATCAGAAATAATTCGTGAGCCTTCTAGGCTATTCTAGCAGCACAGGCGAAGCAGGGAGACCCTCCTGGGTGGTTGGGCGGGCCTAACCAATTCGGTCCCAGGCCACTGTCTGAATTGCCTCGGCGCAGAAGCTACTGAAAAACACATGAGGCCCAGCCAGACAGCAAACTGGGTGAGCACTTTCCATGAAGGAAAGAGCTTGCCACTGGTGGGCTCATGCGGGCACTAGGCAGTGCATGCGGCAGCGCTGCTTGAGCGTGCGGTAGCGGGCTGTGCGCTGTGCGCTAGCGCTAGTTGCCAGGCAGTGCGCGTGGGCGCTGGAAGAAGGCCGGGCGCTACTGAGGGCAGCGCCATAGGCAACCCTACATAACCAAGGGATGAAACTGTTCAGTGATAATCCACCTTAACTCCGGTTACGGCTAAGGGGTTAAGCATCAACGACGGCCCGGCAACCGATACCCTGCAGGAAAATGTGAAGGGGAAAAAAAGAAAGAAAATAGCCATGAAGAAGGGGGCTTCAAAATTGACCTTACCTCCCCATATGCAAACTGGCTTCACTATGTACGTGAGAGAGTTGGCCCCAAACACCATTTAATGGACCAGATACCTAGGCTGGGCCGGCGCCCGGCCGGTTGGGCCCGGGGGGGTCCGCCCGGGTGAACTGGGCGACGCAATAACAGGGCAAGGAATTTTTTATTTTTTTTTCTGAAGGTGGGGCTGTGCTGCGCTGCACCAGAGGACCCCGAATCCG